CTTTTGTTAGGGTAGCAGTGGGTCTATTCCTGTCCCCAAAAATAGGACACCAGAACCCACAGACAGAATTCAATACATAAAACCATTCCAAACGATTTTACGTTGTCGTGAGAGCACAAATATGGTCTATAAATAACGTATAAACAGCTTCCTTATTCCAGGTTCTACTGGTCACATGTCTGGTTCATTTTGTTTTGGTCACTCTATAAGCAAACCAAATGACCAAGTGTCATCTGCTGGAGACGTCAAATTTTTCCTGGCATTTTTCCTTCAAAATGTAATTTATAGTTTTCTTATTTTGATTTCCCTTTTTGTTCTTTAATCTTTCGTTTCTTTCAAATTATATTTATTTTCCTGGCCTCCGAAGGAAGTGCACACTGAGCCCTTTAGGCTCCACATAGCACTGGTTGGGAAAAGCTGCACTGAGGTATCACATCCAAAACACACCAGAGTATCTGTGGTGCAGTGGCTAAGCCGCTTGTCACATTCTGAGAAGATCATGGGTTCGGTTTCAGACTGTCCTTCAGGCTGCAAGCACAGATGGTTTCAGCATTTGCCAATTACTGCTGGAGCTATGGAAGTACATGCTTTGTGTGACCAGTTGCTCTGCAGAGAGTGCGACAGCCATAGTGGGTGAAATTCTGTACAATGAAGCTGGTTCTCTCACCTTTAGGCATAGTTTGAAAATCTTTATAGTGTGTTAATCTAATTCTAACTCATCCTTCTCCCCACACATCACATCCCTGTAAAATATAAACACATCCTTCTCTCCACACATCACATCCCTATAAAATGTAAACTCACCCTTCTCCCTGCACATCACATCCCTGTAAAATATAAACTCATCCTTCTCCCCACACATCACATCCCTATAAAATGTAAACTAATCCTTCTACCCACACATCCCTGTAAACTGTAAAATCTTTCTTCGCTGCATTTATCACACATCACTGTAAGATATTAACTCACCCTTCTCCCCAGCCATACATTCGTGTAATAGGTCAACTTATCTTTCGATGAACCTCATACATTCCTATAACAGACCAACTCACCCATTTCCCCAGCCACACATTCCTATAACAGACCAACTCACCCATTTCCCCAGCCACACATTTCTATAACAGACCAACTCACCTGTCTCCTAAGCCACACATTCCTATAACAGACCAACTCACCCGTCTCCCCAGCCACACATTCCTATAACAGACCAACTCACCCGTCTCCCCAGCCACACATTCCTTTAACAGACCAACTCACCCGTCTCCCCAGCCACACATTCCTATAACAGATCAACTCACCCGTCTCCCCAGCCACACATTTCTATAACAGACCAACTCACCCATCTCCCTAGCCACACATTTCTATAACAGATCAACTCACCCGTCTCCCTAGCCACACATTCCTATAACAGAACAACTCACCCGTCTCCCAACAAAGGCCTCAATCTGGTTGTTCTTTCTCTTGATCAAGCCTGGAACTTTCCTAAAGAGGTCGCAAGCAGCCTCCATATTTCCCTGAGACCCAGTACAAACTGTCATATGATAAAATAATCATTGTTATCTCTCCAGTTATCATCATTATTATCTCTCCAGCTATCATTATTGTTATCTTTCCAGTTATCATTGTTATCTCTCCTATTATCCTCACTGTTATCTTTCCAGTTATGATCATTAACTCTCCAGTTATGATTGCTATCTCTCAGGTTATGATTGTTATCTCTCCTGTTATCATCACTGTTATCTCTAGTTATGATCACTGTTATCTATCCAGTTATGACTGTTATCTCTCCAGTCATAATTTTGATCTCTTCTTTTATCATCACTGTTTTCTTTTAGTTACTACTATTGATATCTCTCAAGCTATTATTGTTATCTGTCCAGTTATTATTGTTATCCGTCCTTTTATTATTGTTATCTCTCCAGTTATCATCTGTGAAATCTTTCCAGTTATCACTGTTATCTATCCAGTTATCATTGATATCTGTCCAGCCATCATCACTTTTATCTCTCCAGCTTTTATTGTTAACTCTCCAGTTATTATCACTGATATCTCTCTAGTTACTGGGCAGGTGTTCATGCAGAGGCAATAGATTACCCTCACTGCAATCACACTGAACTCACATACTTGGAACCCCCCGCCCCCTTTTTTGTTGTTGCAATCTGTCAGTCAGTGGTGAATCACAACACTGGTTCTGTGTTGGTTCAAAGTTTCTCAACTGAAACTCTCAACAGGATGTTTCCTCTTGTCCCCAAGATCTCCCTCACATGTAGCTATAGAGAGAACTAAACATATTCCAGTAAATCAACAACCGACACTGGTGCTGAATAGGACACATACTGAGAAAACCTGAGAACAATATTACTAGCATATCTTTACACTGGAACCCACAGGGACACAGACATAAAGGCAGATCAAAAACACACGGAGAAGGGAGCTAGCGAGTGAAGTTAAACAGACAGGAAGGACATGGGGTGAGGTGAGCTGTGTACAATAGCAAGGGACAGGACAACCTGGTTTGCCAAGGCCTAGGCTCCATTGGGAGTGGAGGGGAGGGTAGGGGGGAGGGGGGGCAGAAGAAGAAGAATATATAAGATGACCAGTGTTAAATATTCATCCCTGTTAGGCTAAAGTGGCTTTAACTATGAGATAACCAGGTTAGGATGTAACCAGGTTAGGATGTAACCAGGTTAGGATGTCACCAGGTTAGGATGTAACCAGCTTAGGATGTAACCAGGTCAGAATGTAACCAGGTCAGAATGTAACCAGGTCAGAATGTAACCAGGTTAGGATGTAACCAGGTTAGGAAGTAACCAGGTCAGAATGTAACCAGGTTAGGATGCATCCAGGTTTGATGTAAGCAGTTTAGTATGCAATGAGGTTAGGATATAACCAGGATGGGAGGTAACCAGGTTAGGAAATAATCAGGTTGGGCGGTGGGGGGAGGGTGGTAACCGGGTTAAGATATAACCAGGTTGGGGAATAACCAGGTTTGGATGTAACGAGTTTAACATGTATCCAGGTTAGGACGTAACCAGGTTAAGACAAGAGACTCCAGCCCGATACACGGAGAGACACTTGGGTGTCTGACCACTGTCAGACCCAGGGTACAAAACACAAGACAAGACCACTGTTGAAGCATCACCTGCTGTTAGATATGTGTAGTAGGCCTGCGACCACTTGGACTCTCTCTGTAGTCGGGAGAATCCCTCCAGACTCTCCTTCCACTGCAGCTTCAATATATGACACCAGCCTAGGAGAACATGTGGTTAATATATTACATTTACTTCACTGGCTCCACATGTCTAACATTAATTAACTCTTTGAGTCCCAGGGAACGCATCACGGCGCTATTTTGTTATAACCTCACGGACCAATCGAAGCATGACAAGTGAAGGTTGTTAATTTACCACTGACCGGTATTAAAACGAGGAACGTTCAATTTCAACTTCCTTCAGAGTTCTTTGTGTCTGATATCAGGTGTGCTCATTTAGAAACGTGGGTTGAAAGCCCAAAATATAGTATATTTGTGAGATTAGTCGAGTTACTAAGTGTTTGTTTGAAAAGAATATGGCCATCAAGCAGTATTCTATGTGCATGCCAACGTGATGTATGGCCTTAGAAGCCTCAAATTTAAATAAAGTACGTGTTTTTTTAATAGATTTATCCGAAGTTAGATAGATAATGTTGCAAATCAGACGTGTTTCAGTCATTTATAGAGTCAAACTTTGATGAGGGATATGTCTAATGTGTACCTCACGCGAAGGATACAATGATATCAAAGTCAGCAGGTACAAATAGAATAAACATTAGTGAAAAAACGATTTTCTTTAGTGTCAGTAAGTTCTAGTGCTATTCCTTTTATTATTTTAGAACATAGCTACAAAATTACAGGCAAACTGTGTTATATAAACTTCATTTTGCATAAAGATACTTATTGTTTTGGGAGTCAGTTTTCTTTCCCAAATAATAGTGCTCTGTTATGATGCTTCAAAAGATTCTCTGGAACAAAATCTAATGTATAGATTGAGTTTATATTTTACTTATACATTACTAAGTGGTTCATATTCATTTGTGATTCATTTTGGATATATTTTAATCAGTTTTTCGTGAGTGCCATGTTGGTAAGTGGAAACTTTTTAAATTTCATTTTACTAATTGTTTATTGACTAATTTTTAATTACTAATGCAATTATTTGTTGTAGCTGTATTCTATAATTATTCTTCAACAATCTCTGGTCACTTTGATGTATAACATAATATGTGTATGTTGCCCGGCAATTAAATTAGTCTGGTCTGTTTTAATGTGTTACATTTGTGAAATTGCATTACCACCTCTTGGGCCTCTGATGCTTAACCCCCTGGGACTCAAAGAATTAAACATATTACGATTACTTCGCTGGCTCTATTTGTCTGAGAGTTTGCTATCTACATGTGTAAAATATTGTGTGGTCGAGCAACTTACTGATCACTTATAAACACTTGAGAGAAAAATGTTAATTAAGAAATTACTAATCTCATACAAACACATGAGATTGAAACATAAACAATAAATAACTGATCGGATATAAACACATGAGACAGACACACAGGGACAAATTACTGATCACATAAAAACACATGACATTGAAAAGAAAAACGAAGAAATTACTGATTTTATACAATCACATTAGACAGAGGGACTTACTGATTTCATACAAACACATGAGACAGAGGGACTTACTGATTTCATACAAACACTTGAGACAGAGGGACTTGCAGATTTCATACAAACACTTGAGACAGAGGGACTTACTGATTTCATACAAACACTTGAGACAGAGGGACTTACTGATTTCATACAAACACTTGAGACAGAGGGACTTACTGATTTCATACAAACACTTGAGACAGAGGGACTTACTGATTTCATACAAACACTTGAGACAGAGGGACTTACTGATTTCATACAAACACATGAGACAGTGGGACTTACTGATTTCATACAAACACTTGAGACAGTGGGACTTACTGATTTCATACAAACACTTGAGACAGTGGGACTTACTGATTTCATACAAACACTTGAGACAGTGGGACTTACTGATTTCATACAAACACTTGAGACAGTGGGACTTACTGATTTCATACAAACACTTGAGACAGTGGGACTTACTGATTTCATACAAACACATGAGACAGTGGGACTTACTGATTTCATACAAACACTTGAGACAGTGGGACTTACTGATTTCATACAAACACTTGAGACAGTGGGACTTACTGATTTCATACAAACACATGAGACAGTGGGACTTACTGATTTCATACAAACACTTGAGACAGTGGGACTTGCAGATTTCATACAAACACATGAGACAGTGGGACTTACTGATTTCATACAAACACTTGAGACAAAGGGACTTACTGATTTCATACAAACACATCAGTTCTATTTCTCTCTGCCCCTTGGCTTCCTCCAAAGCCCGCTTATACAAAACCAGAGACAAGTCATTTTGTTTCTGTAATGAACATTAGGAAAATACATGGAATGGAAGTTACATGCTTTCGAAAACCAATGCTTAAGATTTATGAACATTAAATGGGGACAAATTCAAGAAAGAAGATGACATAACTATGAATCTTTTTTAACTATAGTAAAAAGGCGGAAAATGCAATGGCACCAGACATGTAATAAAATCTACTGGCCTCTCAAAAACAATACTGCAGGGCTCTGTAGAGAGGAAGAGGAAAAGAGGTAGACCAAAAAAGACCTGGATATTTGTGACGAAATGACCTCAGTGGTCTCAGAAGTTATATTGTTTGCTAATTTCTTATGTTCAGAGAAGGACAACGAATTAACAGCAATAGACACTGAGCCTAAAATAGTTCTAAAACCACTACAAGGGATTTGAGAATTGTTTAAACTGCATTTCCAATCTCTAGCCAGACAAAGCAACCTTGCTTTATGTAATATTACCTAAAACTTTACCTTGGCTAGGAATTCCTTTCTCAGGTGAATGTTATAAATGTTACCACCTAACCAGACTGTAGAGGCGAGGAAGGGGGAAATAACTTAGTGTAACACCTGAGATTAGCTCCCCTAAACCCGACCCTAGTGTCACAAAGGTTACATAACACAGACAGAGTGGGTCCTTTTGATCAGACTAGATCAGGGGAATTAGGTGGTCTGGTGAAAAACTCCAGACTTGATGGTGTCCAGGGAATGGATTTTCATATACGTCAGTGAAATTCTCAGGAGAACAGGTGTTTGCCAATGAGGAATGTCTAATCTTGGTCAAGGTCGTACTGTAGGCCGTTTACTTTGAGTGACAGGCCCATTGATAGCTAGGTTGATCTGCTAGGTACCTCAGGGGCGTGGCTTAGGGCATCTCCTGGAGGGTTGGGTAGAACCTAGTAAAGGGAGGAGTTTAACCTTGCAGCCAGATAGAAGTATTAATAAGGCTAGCCCTGGAATTCCCGTCATAATCGCTGTCACGAGCAACAAACAGGTCGACCTTAGAGGTAATTCTAATGGCTTGATTCTGGTTTGGCGATTGCTGGAAGTTCCCAGCTCCCATGTGGGTGTCGATCAGTCTTTTCTAAGAACAGAAATAGAGGGTCATCACGGTCGCGAGACTACATTGTGTTAGAACTCGGCCAGCTGGGGAACCAGGTGGAACCAGGAGAACTGGGCGGAAAGGTCAGAACAGCTAAGAAGGGACTCAACACGAGGACTCTCAGAGGTTCCACTTTCTAAAAGTTATGTAACATGTATTTATGTAACTAAACACCACCATTATCACTTCATTCTAATTTTAGGGGCTCAGTTATCAAGCTGAAGCATCCCATTAACACAATACCATCACTATTGGCTAAAAATTTAAATAATTAAAATGATTGCTAGGTTAATAAATCAATTATATGGTCTTATTCTGCATCAGGTTTTATAATTCCAAGTGTGCCTGTCCTTACATGTTTAATTAAACTGTTAAGATAGAAAAGCATTTGGTGGGAGCTCATTGAATTAAATAATAATAATTCTTTACCAAGAAAAGGTCGACGGATTGGGTCAACTGCCCTGTCTAGTAAATCATTCAATATAATAATATATATACATCTAAAACCCATTTCCTTCTCTTGTGGGTACCAAGTGCAGCTAATGTTAAAATAAATAACGAGCCAATATGACTGTTTTCTTGAATATCCAGGACTTTTGAGAGCAACATAGCCCGGATATTAGTTCAGTTAACCTGGTGGAGGGGAGGTGTTGAGAGGAAAATTCCCTATTCAACATATAAAATTGAGATAAACCCAAATCCAGGGAACCCACGACCCGGGACGTCACACTAAAAGTGTTGTAATAACAAGGGGAGTGGGCCGAAACGTCACACTGGGAGCTCGTCCGGGATTTGGACTTGGCTAATCACTCCTAGACTAATGATAGTAAATGTATTAAATTTAACTTTAACTCTTCTGCCAGTATATAGTCTAAATTAAGATTAGTAATTTATACATGGAGAGATTATAAAGTATAAAATAACTTTTAAAATAAATAAATGGATGGTATCATTTACCTGTCTATCATTGATCACTTCATAACCATTGATCATTGTTTATTCAGTAATAGATAGAGTTGATTTTGATTATATCTGCTTGCATGTTTCATCATTTGATATACATTGACATCATATCATTGATTGTTGTTGTTGTTATCGATCCAGCGGCGCATGAGCTTTCGCCCTTTGGCCCAATGCCATGTAGTGGAATTTGCATGTTTTCACAAGCTGTTCTTTTCCTCCGTACGAAAGTGGTTCCACTTGTCTGGTCTCGAAGGAGTGGTCGTTCTTCTTGTTCTCATCTCGACTTTTGAGTGCACTCAAAGAGATGGTGTTTCAACAGTGTCGTAGGGGAGTTACATAGCTGGCACTCTGCGGGAGTGGTTAGTGGTCTCTATTGCCTGTTTTAGGTGTCCATTGAGTGGAGTGATGTTGCGTTCGAAGTCTGAAGTATGGTGGACCTGGTCCCCTTCTTGTTAGATGGTTATGCTGTCATTAGGATCCAGGCAGGATCAGACTATGTCGCATAACCTCTCTTCCCGTGTCTCCCATGGCCCATCTGTTCAATACGCATTCTCTTTGTTTATAGCTCTTATCAGTGTTTTGCTGTCTGAGAGTTGTACGCTGTAGTGGTTGTTCATTGTGTTGCTCCTTTCTTTGCCATCTGTCCAGCTCTGTCATTACCTGGTGTGCCGAGTGACCAATGTATCCACTGCATCATATTCTGATGTTGGTATGAGTATCTGATCCGGCAGCCGAGGATCTCTTGCTATGTCATTCTTGCAGCGTTCATTGCCCTCCAGAGCTTGCAAGGCAGACTTGATCTGTGAGATGACAATATTTCGGACCTTTGAGGGGTAAACATCCATTAAGTTCTTTAGGTGGTATACTGCTGTTTCCAGTGCATTATTTCAGCTTCATAGTTTTAACAGAAATTCCCCCCATGCTAAAAACTCTTTACAGATCTCGGGGTAACCTATGTAATTCCGTAACCGCTTTTAAAAGGTAGCTTTAAATGCTGACCACAGTATAGAATGTTCCATTCTCATATCAGATATTATGCTTATGACTGAATTAAAATTACTTCCCAAATCTTTTTACGGAAATTTTTGTGCTGTATATCATTCTAAAATGTCGTCTGTAAGCTCTGTGCATTCCATATCTGGGCTGGGTAGTAGCTACTCTTTTGCCCCTTTTACTGCCCTGCCTGATTTATCTCGTTTTCACTGACTGGGGAAACTTAAAATTCTCTTTTTAATAGATCAAATAAAGAATAATGGTATACTACCGTACCGAGAAATATGCAAAAAAAGGGGGGGTAGCAGACGATGGTAGGGGCCTTTAAAACCCTTTTTTAAAACCCCGTATTTCAGGGAATGATAGGTTTGCCTGGTTTGCGAAAAGGGGGGAAGCGCAGCCTGAGATAAAGAAGGGGGGTGGATACGGGGATAAGCGAATTAAAAAATCCCAGCTGGAGAAGAGGAATGTAAGAGCAGCCACAACTTCTAAGAAAAGATAAAGGGGGAAAATCCCTACTAAACGAAGAACATAAAAATCCCCCTACATCACGTCCAATATTGAACTTTAAATGACAGGGGGCTATAGGCAAGCAACCATGAAGTCCTCACAAACCCCATCTGACAAGATGGAGAAAACAATCGAGAGTTAACCTTTATCCGAAGGAGCGCACATACTTATAGGTTCCTACCAGAAGCCCAGTAAACGAAAATGCCTGATTTTTTTGTCTTCTTTACTCCCCCTTTGGGGAGGGGTCTAAACCCCCTGGGATCAATGTTTAACGCAAAGGTGACCCTACAACCGCAGTGTTCAGGATATGATGAAATTGAAAAATCTGATAACTGCTGGAGCTAATAGTTATAAGACAAAGAAAATGGCAATATATTCACATCCTAAGGAGCAATAAATGAGAAACATTAGGCAAGCAAAGAAATGAGAAACAAATGGAAAGACGAAACAAAGATGTCCGAGAACACCCTAAAATGAATGTTGCTAATAAAGGCCAAAGCTGCTGGGTTGGATTAACGAAAGGGCTGCATGGGAAGACAGCTGTGAGCCCGTGGGACACCATGGCCCAAAAGATGATATAATAAAAATTAAATAGTTTGACCCCAAACCTGGGCTTGCCAGCAATTTTCCCAAAACCCTTTTTCCCTTGTATCTGTTAACTTACGCATGTGGCTGTGTTACTTAAAGTTTCGAAAAGTTTTAAAAAATTCCCCGCTCCTTGACTACGGTTTCAATTTTTGTGCGGCAATCTTTATTTTTTTTTTAC